ATGGGCCCTTTCCTATACAATGTAGATTGTTAGCACTAGAACATAGCCACACACACACACACACACACACACACACACACACACACACACCCTTCTCAGGCAGCCACCTCAGCTGTCACTTCAGAGGCCATCTTTTCCCATGCTTGTCTTCTCTCCCCAGCTACAGGCCTGGCTCAATCTGGTTTCAGTGTTAGACCTTTAAGCAGCTCATAGTCATATTCCTTTGGCATCTCCTTGGCTCCTGAGCTCTTTTAGCCTCAGTTACCCCATCTGCAACCTGGGGATGGTAGTGTTGTTCACCCCCAGAAGGCTCTTACGGAGATGGTGTAACATCAACATAAACAGATTTGCCAGGAGGGAACAGAGACTAGCCACGGTTACCACCAGAAAGCTTTGCCAAGTAGTGGGTGTCAAAGTGACTGACCTTCCTGATAACCCTGTCAGTTCTTGGAGAAGCAGGAAGAAGGACACACATGTCCTCTTGGAGGAGGTAGAGGTGGGCTGTGTAGTCTAGTCAGCATAGAGGGGGCTGCTGACAACTTTACGTGTTTGGAAGTGGTTTCTACAAGATTTCCTCATGGTTCTGTGGGGTAAGACAGTGAGGGATTAAGTTTCCTGGGGCTGCAGAGATGGCGCAGTTGGTAAAGTACTTGCCATGAGGCATGAGGGTCTGACTTTGGATCATCCCTATCGTCCTACAGATGGAGATAAGTGGACCCCCAGAGCCCCCTGGCCAGCCCATCTTCAATAAATTTGATACAGGGTTCAGTGAGAAACTCTGTCTTAAAAAGTAAGGTAGCGAATGATAGAGGAGACACCTGACACTGGCTTCTGGCCTCCACATGCACATATGTGTGCATTCATCTCCCTGAACGTGGACACACAAATAAACCTGTACACAGGCGTACATCAGAACACACATACATACATGCATGCATGCACGCACCAAACACACAGATTCTCTCAAGCTTCACATGAGTGACTGTGGGTACATGGAGCTGCTATTTGTTGAGATACATTGGGTGATTCTAATGCATTGTCCAAATCCCAGGTAACTCTCTCCACATCCAAGGATTCTGCACACATAGGTTCAGGCAGCTGTGGATTGAAAGGCTTCAGAGGGAAAAAATGCATTGGTCCTGCACATGGGAAGACTTACTTTCCACAACCTCATCTCCTAAACTACTCAGCATAACCGTGATTTCCATTGTATCAGGATGACTGAGCATGCATCGGCGGTATGCAGATGCTACACTAGGAGTTTTTCCCTGTTTTAAAATTGATCCTTTGATGGTTTCCTATGTGTATATGCTGTGGGATGGTCTGTATGTCAAGTGTGTTGCTGATTGGTCAATAAATAAATCACTGATTGGCCAGTGGTTAGGCAGGAAGTATAGGCGGGACAAGGAGGAGAATAGAGCTGGGAAGTGGAAGGCTGAGTCAGAGATAGTGCCAGCCGCCACCAGGACAAACAGCATGTGAAGATGCCGGTAAGCCACAAGCCATGTGGTAAGGTATAGATTTATAGAAATGGATTAATTTAAGATATAAGAACAGTTAGCAAGAAGCCTGCCACGGCCATACAGTTTGTAACCAATATAAGTCTCTGTGTTTACTTGGTTGGGTCTGAGCGGCTGTGGGACTGGTGGGTGAGAGAGATTTGTCCTGACTGTGGGCCAGGCAGGAAAACTCTTTTACCACATGTATATGATATGTGTTGATCATATCAACTCCCCTATTCCCCTTCCAACTCTCCCCAGATCCCCCACCACATTCATCTTTATGACTGCTCTTCAGATCCCGCTGAGTCCAATCAGTACTGTCCTCGTGTGCATGGATGTTGGGTTATCCACTGGAGCATGGACAACCCAACAAAGGCCATCTCCCTGAAGAAAACTGACTCTCCCTCTCCCAGCAGTTTCCAACTACCTGAGCTCCCAGCTCTGTTAGAACATTGGTGGGCTTGATCTTATGTGGTCTCAAGCAGATAGCCACAGCTGCTGTGGGCTCTTGAACAACGTGGCTCTGATGTGTCCAGAAGACATGGCTTCTCAGAAGTCCTCCCTGATCTCCGGCTCTTACCACCTTTCTGTCCCCTCTTATCCAATATTTCCTGAGCATGGGGAGAGGGCCTGCTATGGATATCTCATCCAGGCAGACTGACCATTTCACACTTATTCATCCTCTGCACGCTGAACAGTTGCTGGCCTCTGTACTGATTGCCATACTCTGCACAAATGAAATGATACACCATGTATGTGTGGGTCTTGAGCATCTGTGCATGAACCAGTCCCCCAGGGACAACTACATGTATAGACAAACACTGACTTGTCTCCGACATCCAGCTAAGTTGGGCTGCTCCAGAGGGAGCTCAAAAGAAAGTCAGGCAGTGGTGGCTCCCGCCTTTAGTCCCAGCACTTGGGAGGCAGAACCAGGCGGATCTCTGTGAGTTCGAGGCCAGCCTGGGCTACAGAGTGAGTTTCAGGAAAGGCACCAAAGCTACACAGAGAAACCCTGTCTCTAAAAAACAAGAAAAAAAAGAAAGAAAGAAAGAAAGAAAGAAAGAAAGAAAGAAAGAAAGGAAAGAAAGAAAGAAAAGAAAAGAGGGCAGTGGTATTTCCATCCTTCCCTGAGAAGGGGGCTTGGGATCCAGAAGACCTTGATGGAAGGTTGTCTTTGTGCACACTCTCCTGAGTTTGATGCCCGTTCCCTGAGTTTAGCAGGCCTTGGGCTTTGGGTTCATAGCAATCACATAGTCAATCAGTTCCTTGCAGTGTTCTTACACATCTGTGATATCTTGTTTTGATTTATTTTAGCTTGATTTCCCCCTGTATTTCCCTTTTCCTTCTCTTCCTCTTTCCTCCTTCCTTTCCACACCCTTTCCCCCTTCCCTCCTCAGTCCTCTCTTGTTTCATAGTTCTGCCTGTCTTTGAACCCGTGATCCCATTTGCTTCAGCTTCCCAGGTCCTGGGATTATAAGTGGGTTACAGCCTTGCCCCCCCCACCTGTCCTGGCTCATCTTATTTTGAGTAAATGGAAAGTGGTAAGTGTCAGAAAGAGTGGAGAAAATTAGGATGGTTACAGTGTGAAGTGAAACAAAGGAGTCAGGTTTAATGTTCTAAATATCAAGAGGGTATTTTTAGTCTACAGCAAGATGTCATTCTAGAAATAAGCCTCTATGAAGAAGGAAAATACTTTGCCAAGCATCTAGAGACTTTTTTATGTAAGGAGTCCAGTTAGATCATATAAGATCAATGTCACCATATAGAGCAAGCAGAGAAATTGACTAATGGAAATTTCTGGTAGAAAGGAAGAGGAAATGGAAAACATTGGCAAGGGAGGAGGGAGGAAGCAGAGAGACTCTGAGAGAGCACAATGGGTCACTGCAGAATGACTGTGAGCTTCTCCACTCTGCCATGATTAAACAAACTTGGGACAGCACATTAGAGACTCAAGGACCCTTAGAGGCTGTGTAGGAGGGCCAGTCCTCCCTAGCATGCCCACTATGTCTCCACCATGGCCAAGAAGGGTTCCTCGTGGTCTGGATCTCCTGCTACCTTGGTAAGAAGTCACCAACATGTTGAGGACAACACTGTCCTGGCACAGGCTTGGGACCGGGGCGAGTACACAAGAGGGCACAGAGAGCATGGGTCTGAGTGATGCTGGGCATCAGTAGCAGATGTCAACAGGACTCACCATAAAGGACAGTGGAATCAGCTAAACTCCAGCAAAAACTAGTCAGATGCCAGTATGTGGGCAATATGTTGGGGCACCAAAGGCTCCAAGGACCTTTGCCACAGGACACTTCTGTTTTCTTTTCCACCTGGTAAAGTGGGGAGCTTGCAGTCTTCTCAGTGACTGGGTTGGACCTTCCCAGAATCACTCTTCCTCCATAAACAATGCTTTCTAGTTCCTTTTTCTATCTTCTAGAAATTTCCTTTAGTCATTTTTTTTCTTGGCCTGTGTTTGGAGAGGAGGAATGGCCAAAGGGACTTCTGAGAAGGAAAGTTGTGTCCTTTGAATTAAGTGGCTATTTTCTCAATGAAGTTGAGTTCATCTCAGGGTGACCTGTTTCTCACAGGGGCAGCAGAAGGAATCTCTATTAACAATTTCCATTCTTCTCTGCCGTTAGGATAGATGGGGGCTCCAGAGGAACAGAGTATGATTTCAAAAGGAAATAATGAGACAGCTGTTGTGGCATACGCTTTTAATACCAGTGCTCATGAGGCAGAGGCAGGAGAATCTCTGCTGGTTCTAATCTAGCCTGGTCTATATAGTGAGTTCCAGGCCAGCCAAAACTACATAGTGAGACCTTGTATAAAAAACAGTTATGATAGCCGGGCGGTGGTGGCGCACGCCTTTAATCCCAGCACTCGGGAGGCAGAGCCAGGCGGATCTCTGTGAGTTCGAGGCCAGTCTGGGCTACCAAGTGAGTCTCAGGAAAGGCGCAAAGCTACGCAGAGAAACCCTGTCTCGAAAAACCAAAAAAAAAAAAAAAAAAAACCAGTTATGATGAATTTCATCTTCCTAGAAAAGTCTGAGTGTTCTGTGTAAATTTTGACATTTTGGGGGGAGTTCTCTCCCAAGCTTGATCCTTTCCTGAACCTTCATTGTGAGCTGTGGAGTCATCAAGGAAGTGTGGCAGGTGGTTTTCATCTAACATAATCAGTACTTATACTTATTAAGTGATTTTCAATATAATCACATTAAAGGAAATCAATACAAAGAAAAATATCTATCCACAAAACAAAAGTATCCCTTTAATAATGTGTTGTCTTTGCCTGTGTTAAAAACATGGCTCTGGGGGGAGAGGTGAGGTGGCAGGGGTGACTTGGAGGAGAGGAGGGAGGGGAAACTATGGTTGGGATGTATTGTATGAGATAATTTATATATATATATTTGGTTGGCTGACTGACTAAATCTTTTGCCTCAGGAAGTCTGTGCTACCCACATCCTTTGCTCACCCCTGTTGACGCAAAGGGAAAGAGAGGAGCAATTACCTGATGCTGTCATGTGACATCAAGCTCTGGCTCATTTGGGTGCTCTTCCAATTATTGAAATAGGACATTCTTAGGATGGTACCCAGACTCAACAGTTGTGGCAAGCTTTTGCTATTTCTTCCTTCTTAGCCGTTGCCTTTATACAAAGCCCCAGGATTTGTGGGGATTGCTCTCCATCCTTTCTCTGGCATCCTAGATCCTGACTCTGAGGCTCTGGACTCCTTTGGAATGTTGACATTATGATGTGATGGAAAGGGTGTTGGCAATGTCATCCCTAGGATTCCACAGAGTGGAAGCTATAGAACAGATGTTAGCTCTGTGCAACCTCTGCGCGTTTGCCCCGCTGTGTTCTACAGCCCGTGATATTTGGAGGAAGAGTTTTCCTTGGTTGACTGAGGACTGGATGGGCTGCAAACACACAGCCCTGCTTTTGTTTGCTTTGTTCTGATTCAGGAGCATCTGATGTTTTAAGGACTGCTGGGTTGTGTGCTTCCTTTAACTCAGAACTCTGTCCACATCCGAGAGTAGGGGAGGTCCCTGCGTCAGCAGCAGTGACTATCAGAGCTGCAACCGTGGCTGTGGAAACCACTACATGGCTTTTACTGTGTGACCAAAGGTGACCATGTGAATCCAATCAAATGCACAGTGTTCATAATTTTCATCATGGTGTCCTTTCTGACCTGTAAAGAATTTAAAACCATTTTTAAGCTTCCAGATACGCAAGACTATGTTTGTCTAATTCTCAATTTCTCTGTGTCTCTGTCCCCTCTGCCTTTCCTCATCCCTCCTCTCCCCTCCCCTCTCCTTTCCTCTCTTCATCTTCCCTCTTCTCCCAACACTTTCTTTTTTAGAAGGCCATGCCTCTTTCTTTCTTCTGCCTCTTCCTCCTCCTCTTTCTACTATCTCTTCTGCCTTTCTGGAACTCAGCTCCCATCTTGCTATATCGTGGTCAGCTTTTATAATCGATGTGGCTTTAAAAACATTCATGGAAATGTCCTGTTTGGCCTGCGATGTGCTGTCTTTAAAAATATTCCCTGGATAATTGGAAAGAATGCAGATTATTGAAGAGTTGGCAGAATGTTCTACAGATGTGATCACAATCAAGTGTTGTAGGTTCAACTTCCGACATCATTGTTAATTTTTCGATGACTTAATTAATTTGCAATAATTTAATGTTAACTTCACACTTGAAAACATTCACAGTTTTATACTTCTGTTAAAAGTATAAACAAGGGGCTGGAGAGATGGCTCAGAGGTTAAGAGCACTGGCTGCTCTTCCAGAGGTCCTGAGTTCAATTCCCAGCAACCACATGGTGGCTCACAACCATCTGTAATGAGATCTGGTGCCCTCTTCTGGCCTGCAGACATACATGCAGGCAGAACAATGTATACATAATAAATAAATAAAATCTTTAAAAAAAAAAAAAAAAAAAAAGTATAAACAAAACAAAAACCAAAACAAAAACCACACAAACATATAAAGTCAAATACTGGCTTGAGAATGTTTCAAACCAATGTTTAAACCTCAAATTTGTTAGTTTTCTGGTATATTACATAATCGCTTTCCATCTCACTAAATAATGTTATAGTCTGAAGTTTATTTAATCTGAAATTCTATGATTAAAGTATCTTAATTTTATGAATATTTTAAAAATTATAATTTATGTTTCTTTGTTCTGATTACATTTTGTTTGGATTGATGTTTTTGTTTTTTTATTTTTCTGTGCTTTGCTTCAATTCTTTATTCCCATTCAGATTAAGCCAATTTTTCCCAGTGTGTTTCCTTCCTCTCTCACACTTTTCTTTTAGAGTTACTTATTCTATTTAACAAGGATTTCAATGGGTAGCTTACTTCAGCATGCTAAGCAAGCACCCTACCACCTAAGCTCCATCCCAGCTCTCTCTTCAGGTTTATCAGGACCCTAAATTTTGAGCATTTTAATGGCAAGAAAGAACTTTGGTCAAGCCGGTTTCTGCTTTAATTTTCTCCCTCAAGCTGTTACTATTGCTTGTCATAACCTTTGTCATAGTTCATTTTGTCAGTCTGACACAAACCTAGACACACCTGGGAAAAGGGAACTTTAGTTGAGGAATTGCCTCCATCAAATTGGCCTATGGTCATGACTTGGGGTGACATTTTCTTGATTGTTGATTGATGTAGAAGGGCCCAGCCCACTGTGGGTGGTGCCATTCCTAGGCAGGTGGGCCTGGGTTGTATAAGGAAGGAAGCTGAGAAAGCCAGAGGAAGCAATCTAGTAAGCAGTACTCCTCTGCGGTTTCTGCTTTAAGCTCCTGCTTTGAACTCGTGCCCTGGCTTGCCCCTTGTCTCGATTTTAGATTGTAACCTGTAAATTGTAATAAACCCTTTCCTCCTCAAGGTTGCTTTTGGTCATGGTGTTCATCACACCAACAGAAAGCCAACTAGAACAACCATATATTTAACGTATTAGAAGTGCATTTCTGGAACTCGTTTTTACTTTCCCCCGATTGTAATCCAGTTCGTAAACAAGATCACACAGATGGAAAAGAGTGTTCCAACAACCTCATACATATCTAAGAGAAGTGTTGAAGAATGTGAAATTCCTCAAGCCAAGAGCACCTTTATGGATTCAGTTCAAAAAGATTAAGAACCCTTAGAGCTTGTAACATATCTTCTTCTACTTTATATGTTTGTTCATTAAGAAAACTCCATGCAAACACTAAGACACTATAATACATATTTTATTATTTATATGTTATTGTACTTGTGTTCAGACAGTTAACAATATGTTCCTTTGGAATATGTCACCTATTAAATGTCCTGTGATATATTCTTGTTCTTAGTCAATAGATAGATTTATTTATTCTTTATTTATTTAGAGACAGAGTCTTACTGTGTGGCCCAGGCTGGGCTAGATCTCATAGCAACAGTTGCATTCAAATACTGGACAGTGATAGAGATACCGGAGAAAAGGACCAATAAGCAAAATAAGACATTGTGTCTTTTTTTGTGGGATAAAACTTGTGGAAGATTGGTCATTTCACAGAGCCCAGTTTGCTAAATTCCATCCCCAAATGCAATGCTCTTCGCTACTCAACAAACATTAAGGAAGATATATGTAAACATAATTAACCTCAGGGACTCAGGCTTAAATATTAAGCATAGAATCAAAATACTAAACGTTCAAATCCTCCTGAAGGCCGTGCCTCCACCTTGCTTCACGTCTCCCCAGGTGGCAAAGGATGCCCAGTACTTATGCAAGACTGAGCCGTGGTGCTTGGTGCTTGGTACAGGATTGTCCTATATTTGCTTAGCGTCTTCTCTCCCTGGGGTGCGCCTGCCCCCTTCCCTGCCCTCAGGGCTCTGTGCAGGGACAGAATGAAGCTCAGATACAAGCACAGGTAGAGAGATACAGGAGTGCTGTGGTTGAGAGATCGGGTCTGCTGCGGATCTGGTGTTCCCACCGCCTATGTCTGCGAGTCTGGGTAAGTCAGTCAACCTCTCTGCACTAGTGTCTTCATCTTCATGGCGGCTCCTCCTCAAGAAGCGAACACGAGGGTTAAATAAACCAACAGCTCAGGGACATTGAAAATGACAAACCAGATGGTTCAATAATCATTAGTTACTACTCCAGGGTCAAAACCTTTTTGTTGGTTTGAAAGGATAGGTGAAGAGACAAACAGGAAACGCAATAAAATTTAATTAGAATGTTATCTGTATTCAAAGAGATGTATGCGAAAAGGTGTATAGAATTTCCTGGCTTATGGATTATTATATCTTTATTGCTTTATTTTTTTCTAAAATGACTGTGCCTTACTTGTATTCAAAGGCGCTCTGAAGGAGAGCTACTTATATGCTTTCTGTATGTGGATTCAAATGACGGGGCTATAATTGAGAGAGTTTACAGTTGATTCTGGTCATCTTTCTGGGTTCACATTGTTGGTAGGCAGCCAATCAGACAGGTACCCTCCACCTAACAGAAAGCCTGTCTGAGAATTCTAAAGCTTCTTGGTGCTCAGAAAGGACTTCACAGTTCTCAACAACACCCAGGGTAGGATTTCTTCAGAGAGAACCAGGCCATTTTCCCAAGGCCCTTAGGGAACAAAATGTATCTTGTATTCTATTTATTGGGGGAGGGAGGGCTGGATCAGAGAGTCCACAGGGAGTGGAAACCAGAAAACCTGCCTAATAGTATAGGGTATCCCAAATGCCTTTGCTGTACCCACTCTCTCTCTCTTTTTAAACTTTTCTTGTCATTTTTTAAAAAAACAAAAACCGTTCTAATTTCAGTGGAAGCAAACATCTCAGCTTTCCGGAGAAGCCACTGTTCTATGCCATTGTCTTGACCATAATTATTTATCTCCTTTCTCCTTATTTTCAAAAGCACTTCAGGTTGGAGAAAGCAATCCTCTGGAATGTCTTTTGAAGTCTCATGTGACTCTGACTACCGGTGGGTTAGAGACTTCAGCTATGGGCCAGACCTAAGCTGGGCTGATGTAGCAACTGTAAACTGATACTGAAGCAGGAAACGGCACCAAACTGGCTGTTAGTGACTTATCGTGTTCATTCTCTCAACTCTCACCAGAGAAGCATCTATTTGCAGCAGATGGTGATTAGCACAGAGACCCACCACTGGTTATAGTGCAGAGAAGAATTGTGGGGTGCTTTTCCCTAAGTGGGTCTTCTCTATCATACTCCCTCCTCCCAAGACTCAGGGGTCATGGCAGAAGAGACAAGAGTGTAAGAACTAGAGATGGTAGATGGCTATAAGGAAATGGTGTTTTCTGGACACAGCAGAGGAGCTGCCCGTGGGAACTCACAGTGACCATGACAACATGCACAAGCTCTGAGCAAGCTGAAGACAGACCAAATCCCAGCCTGAAGAGGGGAGGTGGGAATGAATTGCTGTTCCTAGAAGAGAAGCGATTGGCAATGGACAGCTGCTGGTAGAGGGAGTCAATTTTCTTTAGGCGGATAACTGCTGGGAAGTTGACCATTCTCCAGTGGAAGGCCACACATCCAAAGATCTATGTGCAGTACAAGTTTGACTTGAAGGATTAATGAAAAAAAAAGAGGACAGAGAGTAGG